GCAACTTGGCAAGACCTCATCTTTACAATAAATAAAAAAAAATTAGCTGGGTGTGGTAGCGCGCGCCTGTAGTTCCAGCTACTTGGAAGGCTGAGGTGGAAGGATTGCCAGAGCCCAGCAGGTCGAGGCTGCAGTGGCCGGGAGCAGCCACTGCACTCCAGTTTGGGTGACAGAGTGAGACTCCAACTCAAAAAAAAAAAAAAAAAAAGAAAATGTAGTCTAAACCCTTATCTGGGTTGTGTCTCCCCCAAATATGTCTGTGGATGCCCTACCCTGTGTCCCTGGAGACAGGGCCTTTGGGAGGTTCTCAGGGTTAGACGAGGCCACGAGGGTCGGGCGCTGTGGTGGGACTAGTGCTGTTTGGAAGAGACACCAGATCCCTCCCTCCCTGCCACGTGAGGACACAGTGACAAGGCAACCACTGAGAAGCCACGAAGGCCCCTACCAGAGTCCACCTACTCTGGCACCCCGATCTTGGCCTCTAGCCCCTAGAACTGGGGGAAAGTGCATTTCTGTTGTCCATGTCACTCAGTCTATGGTGTTTTGTTATGGCAGCCCAAGCTGATCAAGGCATGTGACTTGTATTTCGAGACATCAGGGCACTCTTGCACCCAGCCTCTGGGCACCGTAAGCTAGCTTCCTTCCTTCCTTCCTGTCAGAGTCTCACTCTGTTGCCCAGGCTGGAGTGCAGGGGCACGCTCCCGGCCACCTGGCACACTCATGGCCACGCAGCCTCGGCCTGCTGGGCTTGGGAATTCTTCCACCTCAGCCTTCCGAGTAGCCAGAACTACAGGCACACACCACCACGCCCGGCTAATTTTTTGGTTTATTGTAGAGACGAGGTCTCAACAAGTTGCCCAGGCTGGTCACGAACACCATGAACTTTCTACATCGTCTTGTGAGGGCAGGGTGGCTCCAGAACTCTCCGTGGGGTGCTGGGTCTAGCGCTTCTCCCGGCAACTGCTCGATGAGCACTGGGGTGCAGTCACCTTCTTAGTTACCAGCAACAGAACAGACTCTGGGTAAGCCACACAAAAGAGGGACTCACTCAGAGGGCACCAGGGAGGAGGCTGGCGAGGAGGACATGCTCAGGCAGATGGCACCGCCCAGGCCTCTCAGTGGGGGTGTCTGGTGGAGACTCCATCGGCCCAAGGTCAGAGCTGGCTGCGCCGGCAGGTGGGTGGGGCTGTGCACTCCTCACCTCCTGCCCAGAGCTTGGCTGATGCTTCAGGGCGGGCTGTAGCTGCTGGGGTGGCTGGGAGGAGAGGGTTTGTTTTTGATCTTCGTGGTGGGACATGGGCTCCCATGTAAGAGGGGGATTCGTCTCTCCAACACAAGATGAGTCTCAAGAATGACCAGAGTCCTCTGCGGGGGGAGCCCAAGGCCTTGGCATTTTGACTATGACACAACAGCAGTTTCCAGCCTCCTCAACTGCGAGTCCTCCTGGCGGGAGGCTCCTCCGACCCCCTCCTCCTGGGAAGCAGGAAGCAGAACAGCCGACACTGCATCCTGACCCTGAGACTGTGACTGTGTCCTTGCGTGAAGTTTTAGCAGGAGACACGGGGGGGCGCTCCCACAACGAGCAGGAGGACTGGAGTGGTTTCACCGCCTTGCAGTTACACCTTGGGTCCTCATTTTGTCGGGCCTGCTTTATGGTTTTGTTTTCTAGGCAGGGTGACCAACACCTGTGACCTCTCTGCACCGGTGCCCTGCAAAACACCCTGCTCCCTGGGGCATCTCAAGTGGGCCAGGTTTTCCAAGGATGTTTTCCAGCCCATGTTCCAGGGACCATGGCTCTGAGCAGCGCAGAGCTGGGAGGGGGATTTTTGGTCTCAGTTTACCCCCCACCTCAGCCACTAAGGAGAGGGAGATGAGGTGGCCAAGGGCCGGCATTTACACGTCCTTTGGCCAAATCCAACCCAGAACAGAGGAGAGTGGGGAGACCCACTGTCTTCAAACGTGCAGCCTGTCCAAGACTTGGTTTTCCCATCTGTAAAATGGAGCTACTGCCCTACCGCAGTCTGTCAGTGAAGGGAGATGCCAGTGGACAGAGCAGGGCACCCGGTGCCACTCGCACTTGCGTACACACAGACCGCTGAGTTTCAGTTCGAGCAGTGGCACCGCAGGTGCCTGGTTAATGAGTGACTGCAGCCAAGAGGGCCAGAGCCTGCGAGCACTGGAGGACGGGAGCAGCCAGGCCGTGGAGTCTGCAGACCCACCCGCAGCGAGGCCCTGGGCCATCAGCTTGAGTGTGTCCTCCTCACCTGGCTTCTCCTCCTTGTCCTCGAGTGAGTTCCTCTATTGTGTGACTTACCCAGAGCCTGTTCCATTGCTGATGACTAAGAAGGTGACTGCTCGCACTGCTCCTGGAGCAGCTGCCAGGACGCGCTTGGCGGAGGGGACAGGTCCTTCTCACTGCACTGGATCTCTCCACTCCGCTTTCTCAGCTCGGCCGGCAAGAACGGGAAGGAAGGCCGGGGCAGCTGCGGGGCTCCTTCTAATGGGGTGGTCAGCTCTGTGGAGGGAGTTACTCGCCATCTAGGCACCCCAAGGCACAGCCTCCCCTGGAAGTATTCCCCTCCCTCCCTCCCAGCCTAACCCTGGATGCCACTCCTTCTTGGGGTGCCACCCACCTCCCAGGCTTCCTCCTCTCCCCCACCTCCCCAGAGCTGGACGCAGATGCAGCGGGATCGGGGTTTCGGCAGCGCCTGGGGCCCGGATCAAGCAAGGGAAGGAGAGATGAGGACACCAGGGGAAGACACCAGAGGTTGCCCAGGCCGGGTGCGGGGCCTCATACCTGTAGTCCCAGCACGTTGGGAGGCCGAGGATCGCTGGGGGCCAGCCAGGGCGACAGAGCGAACCCCTGCCTCTACAGACAAGGGGCTTTGCATTCGCCAAGCAGTCACCCCGCGTCCTGGACCATGCCCACGTTCCCCGGGGGGATCTCCTCCCGTCTCCGCCCCAGAAGCGCGCCCAGCGGCGTGTGCCACCCTCATTCCCATGCCCCTAAGCGCGGGAACTG